TCGAACATAAAATTCGAATATTGGTTCGATTATAGAACGATTGTAAACGTTCCAGAAACGTTGAAAATAGTTCGTTTGACTTGACGTGAACAGGAGACGTTCAGAAATAGAATCGGGACCAGATCTCTAATCAGAAACGGGGGACCTAATTCTTGCATTCTGTGAAAACGGGTAAGATTGGCTATAATGTAATTATCTTAATCTTCACTATCGTTACTTTTTAAAAGCCCAGCGAAGCGGATCCTTGCAGCAAGATTCTAGATTAATTAGAAAAACAGTCTTTTATATATAAAAACGAAAACTATATTACATACAAATGTACGAACAAATAAAAACCCAGCGAAGCGTGTCCTTGCAGCTAGTGTATTTATAAAAATAAACAGATCCGTTCAAAAGGAGTTTTAAAAGTAGGACTTAAAAAATTTTTATAAACTACGCTATGAAATATTGAAGGTTTATGGGACTTTTTGTATTAGTTTTAAAATTTTTCTTGCAGGAGAGGTAAACACATACCCCACGTATACAATGCCTTGAGTATACGTAAATAATTTATGTTACTGGAATACATTAACTTTTATTTTCTGTATGCAGTTATGTTAAGTGAGTTACTTATTGTTTTTAGATACAACGGTAGCCGAATGCGGCTCTTCTAGACATTTATTGCAGCTCCCGTATACACACGATTTTTTTTTTTATAAACTTGGTACATACTACTTACACTTAACGCCGAAACAAGCAACTGAAAGCTTAGAGTACATTCATAGAATCGAAGAAGTTAAATGATTGTTTACCTAGTCATAAAGTGTCAGTAAAGTGTGATATTTACTATAGAACACTGATAACTATATTATATATAGTTAAAATACTGTAAATACATGATGCGGCTCTCCAATAGAGGATGCGCCCTCATTTATTTCCGAAAACAGTGTAAGGCTACTATCGTGACAAGTTTTGGTGCTCTCGCAGTAAGTAATACAGTACTGCGAGATCTATGATCTATTCTTCGATCCATCTTGCAGTTTGAGAAAATTCGATGGTTTGTTATATAAATTTAAACTGTGTGCAAGCTGTATGAATAATGATGATCAAACCAGCTTTTTAATTTTTTTATACAGCATACTATTAAGAATTTAAACAAGTTTTCTAAACAATACTTCGATCCTGATTGCGGTTCTAAAGAGAATCGCAATCAGGATCGACGTATTTTTATTGATAAGGAACAGGATTCCGAAAGATTAAGAGTGAAAAAAAAAGACAAAATTTCGTAAATATCAAATTTCTTATTGCTAAAGATGGCACTGCGAATTTAAAGAGTTTTCTATTCGGTTTGACGAAATAGTTTTTCATGAAAAAGTTCTTGAAAAAAATTAATAATAAATTATTTAGTGAAAGATAACTAAAAGACAGTCATTTTCGATAATCATTACGTCAGAGGGAATTCTAGATTGACATAGAACATTAATAAAAAAAATTTGAAAGATTCTTAGTTTAAGACATCGTTGATAGAATTAAAAGAAAAATATAGTAAATCTTGTCTAATGTTGTGATCTTAAAATAGCCTCCAAAACGTTAAAATACAAATATATTTAATCAAACTCTATCTTAAAAACAATCTTTAATTCTTGTTAACAGATAACTAGTTAATTTGGAGTTTAAAAATAATTGAAATCAGCTGAATAATTATTCGAACAAATGCAAATTTTAACATGGCTCGATCAGTAATTCAGTTAATAAAAATCAGAGGGCGCTACACGAATCATTGATAAAATTTCTTAATAAATAGGAACTTACCAAATCATCGAAAACTACATTTAACGTCTCATTAAATAGAAGGAAAACGTTTAAATAAAATGCAAATCTTTTTTACAATATTCATTTTTGAAGTAGCAAAATCCACAAGAACTTTTAAATTTAATCCAGAATTTTATTATTATGAAAAATTGGAATAAAACATTTTTCATAGTTATACTCCTGTTTTCCAAAGATAAAATAACTGTACGATATTTGTTTGTTTATACCAAACGTATTAAAACAAATTACTACGAACAATTTTTTATTGTGACGTCGTCACAATGCCGGGCTGTAATTTTTAATCATATTTGTAATTTATTTAATTTAAAACATATGCTCTCAACCTCAAAATTAGTAGTGGCTTGCCCCTGTACATCATACTTTTCCTGTAACAATAGATCGTGCTGGTCATCTATGCTTTCAGGGTAAAAGCTTTAAATTGAAAATGCTGACTTTCGGTTTGCATCAGAAATTCGTATATAGATAATGGGGGCCTCCTGCTCCTAAGGTTTCCATATTTGGTCTGAGATTTCATCTAACTCCGTTTTCGAGATTAAGGAAAGACGGACGATGGAAGTGGGTATTTATAGATCTACAATTTTTGCAAATTGTAGCCTGATTAGTTTGATGTATATGGAATATTCTTTATTAAGAATAATCAATCCATTACTTAAGATCGTGTTTGATGGCAGTTATGACAGTCGTTTAAGCATTATTATTAGTTTTTATGATTATATTATAAAATTTTAATGGAATTTTGTTGAAATTATTAGAAAAATTTATCATCATTGTTCAAATGATAAATTTAGCTGCTTTGGAATTTGTTAGATTCCTAAGAATATTTGAACTGCAATTTGAAAAAAAAATTGTAGACCTATAAATTTCCACCGTTGTTCATTTGTCCATCGTTTCCTTGATTTCAAGAATGGAGTTAGACAGATGAAATCTGAGATCAGATATGGAAGCTTTAGGAGCAGGAGGCCCTGATTAACTATATACAAAGTTCTGATGCAAACCAGAAGTCAGCATTTTCAATTTAAAGCTTTTTCCCTGAAAGCGCAGATGACCAGCACGACTCTATTGTTAAAGGAAAAGTATGATGTACAGGAGCAAGGGAGCAAGCCACTAATTTGAGGTGGAGCACATATATTTTAAATTAAATCAATGAAAAATATTGTGATTGTATTAAGAATTGAAACTATGAGAAAATCTTTTAATTAATATATATATATATACAGAAAGCATTATAAAATTTCTGTTTAGAATTTGTAAAAATAATAATACAGATTAAATCAACATTATATTCTTCAGTAAGAATTAACACACTCAAAATTTGTGCTCTCCATTAATAAAATATCTGCATCTATAGACAGATATTCCAGTTTGCTATATGAAAAAGAACTGATATGAAATTTTAAAAAGAAGCTGATACTTACACAGCAAAATAAACTGTACATTTTTCTGCACTTGTGTAATTGTCAGCATAGCCAAAAATAAAAACGATACTGTAGTGTTTTTTTGCTTTCTAGAAAATTCTAGCACTTTCAGTGAATCGCATAAGATTATATAGATATAATGGTTAAATAGCAGAGGAGACTGTCTTCTTACTTCCGTGATAACCTGGATTCAGATGGGCGTAAGATCCTCAAATTTTTTTTTTATGATTGTTTAGTCTAGATATACGGTAGATCACTCTTTCCATTTATCCTACACTTGAATGTTTTTGTAAATGTACTCCTCAACACCAACAAATAAACCAGAACTGCAGAAAAAATGGACAAATATGTGCAAAAGCAATGGCACAGACAGAGCATGATATTTACAGACTGTCTGTCTAAAATACAGATGGTTGCTAGCTCTTAGATGTCACATTATATCCTATCAAAAGTAAGTGTTTACATATGTAAAAAGAGATTATAAAATTATAATAATGAGAAAATTTTTGGAAATTTCAATTTCTATATACATCAAACTTGATAAAATATCAGTTAAATATTTTTAAATAAAATTTAATTTTTTTTAGTGGATTAAACAATATGTAGTAATTATTTTTATTTATATATCAACATTTCTCACTTAGAAATTACCTCAAAGAAAAAATAATCAGTTGTTCTGTTCAGAGCAGAATTCCAACTAATTTGACAGTTTAGTACAATAGGTTCTCAAATTACATATTTTAAAATCACATATTTCAAACATATACTCATTTTTCTATTGTGTTATATTGTTCAAAATATGTTCAGTATTCAGAACTATGCAAACACTCTGACTGTTAATAGTAATGTTTACATATATTGTTTGAATCCTATTTACCATTTGAAAATTAATTATTCTTGAAAGTATTCTTGTAATGAAATTTTTCAAGCATTCTCATGTACTAGTTTTGTGTTGCAATCACTGGTGAATTGACACACAATTTTCCATAATCAACTTCACTTCCTAATTTACAGTGCGATTTATATTTATAAACTGAAACTTTTAAATATACAGCTATTGAATGTTGAACTAAGTTAAATTAAGATTATCTTTTTTGATGTGTTAGAACTGAGTGTTTGTTTCCAACTATTAGTTCTTTCTTTCCAGTTTATACATCACTTTCTTTGTCTTCTCTTAATTTCTAGAATCTTTGAAGAGCTAATCCCTTTTATGGATGAGAAAAATTGTCATTTGTTCTTAAATTTTAGCTTATTCTAGCTTATCCTCGTTACATGTTATGTATGGTATTTAAACTATTAGTATGATATGGTATATCATTCACATCTATACAGTCTTAGTGTCATATTCATACACATAGAACACAACTAAAGCATTTCCCATTAGTTTAAATGGCAAAATTTTGTTCATAGTATATAAAATTTAAAATGCCTGTAACTTTAGAATGCAACCCTTATGAAGGCTCATATTTTAAATATATAATAAAACATTTATGTACTATCAGTTTTCTTAAATTGTTAAATAAAGATTTAAGGTACAGTGTATAAAATTAAAGTTAATATATCAATATTATTTTCATTCACAGTATAATAAAAATAGGGATATTTCGTGTATATTTAACATTTGCAATAACATCTTTATCCAAAATTTTGTTCTTATTGCATATTGTTAGATTGAATTCTGTAATGTATATTAAATGTTGTGAAATTTAACTTTTGTTTTATTTGAAATATATTTCTCAAATATCTTTTTTATTTTTTTATTTTAGGTTGGTAGCTCCATGCATTTAAAATAATGATTCAAGCAATTATAAAGGTGAGTATTGAATATATATTTCATAATTTAAGAAAAACATTTGTATATTTCAATATAAAAAGTTTAAAAATTATAAGACCATTACTTGTATTTGCAGCTCTCAATAAACAAAAAAAAATTATGATTAGTTTTTAACAATTTTATATTAAAACAGAACACCACCACAATAAAACTATCACTTTTAGATTTAATAGGTTATCTTTAAGTATTTAGAAAATAAAACATTACATATCTTATAGATATAATACTTGTTCTTGTTTCAGTGAAATTAAGCAACTTTTTTTTAAGTTTTATTGTGTAGCTTGTTTTCTGTTTTTTAATAAGTATAATATTATGCAGATAAGTGATAGAAATTAATAGCTAAAACTTTATTGTAAGATAGCCCAAAATAGTAGAAGAAGAAATACTAAAACACTAAATCAATTTTCCTTGTCAAAACAAATCAAAAACATACTTAGATAAAATGAACATTTTAGAGTGAAAAAGTCAATTAGCTGTTAATACCAAATTATATTTTACTGTCACTTATTTATCAATAACAATCAAATTATTATTCAATGAGAAACAACAACAACACATTGGCCTGGAACAGTGGTTCCAAAACTTTGAAAGATCACAGACCCTTTTATAAAAAATATATTTGGCAGACCCCTATTTTCAGCTGTTAGGTTTCAAGTCATTAATTAATAAATGACAATAATAATAAGCACCTGAGGCATCTCATATTATTTTCGACTATTTTTGATTGTGTTAATTTGAAAAATTTTGTTAAAATAACAGAATTAATAAATTGTAAAATTTAATAAAAAGAACTTTTTGAAAAATAAAAATGTTTAATACAGTAAATTTACAATACTTCACTTAAACCTTAATATAGCTTTATATAATATAGTACAATTGTAAAGTCCCTCTTCAGTGGAATATGCCCATGTGTAGCACTGTAAATTTCGAATGTTTGAAATATTTGTATAATTTCATTTTTTCAAAATGAAAATATTTTGAATATTTGATATTCAGGTTTTGCCGAATTTTCAGTGTTCAAATATTTTCAAATATTGGAAGTATTCAAAATGCAATTTGCATATGTGCAATTTGTAATGAAATGCACACAAAATTGATCAAAGTTCAGTTATTAACTTTAATTGTAATAATTATTAAGTCAGAATTAATATTTAGTCACTTTATTTGATTTTAAATAATATTGAGATTTTTAACGAAATGTGAATAGATTATGAAATAATTAAAAATGACTAAGTTTTTGTGGAAGAAGAGTTGCTTGTTTAAAGACTCTGGTCTCACTCAATTTCAATGATCACCAGTGATATAGTCCATCACCCAAAAAATAAACTCTCACTTCTACTGTAGGTTGCCAGGTTGCACAGAAATTTATGAAAACATTAAAACTCCTCAGAATAGGGTGAGCCAAGTGACTGATTACCAATCAGTGGGTCCATCATTTTGATAGTATAACATGTTAACAGCAAGTTATTAAAAATGTATGCAAAAGTACAGTTTGTTTCACACAAATAACTAAATGAACATGCACCACTTAGTTTATCAAATACTCACAACTATTTCAAATATTCAAAACTAGCAGACTCCACCACGACTTGTGGCTCAAAATGTATCTATTATAAATTTATAACACTTCCCCGTGGGGGGAATTTTTCCCAAAATTTCTTCTTAGTGTACATTCTGTCGACATACCCTATTAAAACGCAAAAAACCGCATCTAAAATAGTATAAATAGAAGCAGAGTTCTTTACGGTAAGCCTTAATCCTAACCATCTTCCTTCAGTGGGGGGAATTTCGACACGTATATTATATAAAAACACGTGCATATTCAAATGCAACATTGTGTCAAAATTTCAAAGGAATCGGTAGGAACAAATGAACATTACATTTTTATTTATATAGATAGATAGAAGATGATCTGCTTTAGTTCATTTTCACAGAAAAGCGTAATGCCTCACAGAAAAGAGTAATGCCTCACAGAAAAGCAAACTTAGGGCGTCGTACTCGTAGCACCATCTGTTGGACATAAAAGCCTGAACCTAGATTATATCATTTAATTTATATGAATGTTTAACGGAATAATATACAGCCTATGTCCACCCTGAGGTTTCATTCTAAATATTGGTGAAAGAATTTTTGAAATCAGATGAGTAGTTTCGGAGATTACCTGCTGCAAACAAACTTTACATACATACATACAAACATTACCTCTTTATAATATTAGTATAGATTTACAGCACTGTCCGTGTGGCTCAGCTGAGTGTGATGTCATTTCTTTGTTCCTGGAAGCTTATCCTGTTTCCCTGACTACTGCAGAGGTACTTTACAATTATACTGTATTTTTAAATATTTGCTATGTAATAAAATAAAAATGTTTTTAGAACTTGACCCTGTGGACCCCTAGGGGGTTGCAGATCACACAGTTTTGGAACTAATATCCTAGATAAATGTGGACTGAGGTACACTACTTTGGATAATTGAAAATTCAGATTACATGAAATGTTTATAAATTATTCAATAAACTGGATTTGGATGCATTAACATTTACAATGCACTATATTTTTAAGTTAAACCTATTTATCAAACATGATAAAATACTTAAATAAAACTAAAGTTTAGTGTTAATACAAACAATTGTAAATTATATAATAAACATTTTTGTATTGACTGTTGATCTTTACAATTTTTTTGAATTTTACATTTTTTTTTTTTTTGAGTTGAATCATTATTCTTATGATAGTCCAAAAATATAAGTATGAGTAATAAATTTAAAAAATCAAAATAACTTTGAGTAGTCAAAGCAGTTTAAAAACAACTAATTTTACTTTCTGTTTCCTCTTAAATGTAAATCAACAGTAATTTCAAATTAAAGATCAAATACCACGATATTGTAACAGAAAAGTAACTGTTTTTTGAATTAGATCTTTAAAAAAATGTCATTTCAAAAATGTTAACTATTAATTTGTTCAAATTTACTTCTGAGCAATGGGATGTTTTTAATTAACAAGAGTGTAATAGTATTTTAAATATTGAATACTTGAGTGCTTTGGAATATGTTTTGTAGATATTTTCAATCTTTTTTTGCATTAATTTCTGACATAGTTTTAAAACATTCTACTTTATAATAGAAAATTTTTCAAATTTAAAAATAATATTGAACAGTTTATATTACAGTACATGCTCATAGGAGAAAAATTTTAAATCTAAGAAGAAGTATAATGAATAGGTATTTACTTTAGATCAGATTTTTTCATATATAATAAATGCATTTGTTAAAACTTATAGCAGATATTTTATATGTTCAGGTCATCTGACAGATCTGAGTACTTTGATCAGGTAAATATATCATACTATTTTTTTAATACAGCAAGATGTTTGTATTCATATTAAATGTTGTTGTATACTTTAAGTAATTAACTTTTATTTGTATAAAACTGGAAGTTGACACTATGATATTTAATAATTAGAGATACCTCTTATCTGCAAATAATGTATAACAATTGTTTTTGCCTAATTATGCACATCTTAATAATATATTTACAAATGATAAAATTTTCCAGCAGCTTTTAAAACATTTTAAAACCCTTATTATCCATTTTTAGCATTTGTAAGTACACTTAAAATAGCTGACATACTATTTTAAATTTGGAATGTATTTTATCTGTAGCTAGATGAAGTATGGGTCAAAATAAGTAAAATGGATCACATGAGAACAAACACTTTTTAAATTTGGAGACCCACCTTAAATGATTAAGACTGATCGATCTTATCAGATTGATCAGTCTTAGAAATAATTTTTTTTTTATATTTTGGCTGTTTCTTCACACTTTTGCAGTAAGTGCAGATAATATCTCTTCTATAACAATTTCAGCATCACATCTTTCTACAAAGCATGACAACAATAGATAACATTTTCATTTGTCTTTTGGAAAAAGCAAATATAGAGCAATTTTTTCTCTTTTAAATCTATTATTTCATCTGCAATCAAGCACATTATTATGTCTTTAGTCCAGCGGTTCCGAAAGTGTGTGCCGTGGTTTCCTCACAGGTTTCCTCACAAAATGTTATAAGATTTTTATAATGTTAGAATTTGTATAATGTACTTGTTAGAATTTGACATAGGGTGCCTTGGGAAAATCTGCACTTAGCAAGGGCACCTAGAATCAAAAAAGTTTGGGAACCACTGCTTTAGTCCTTGAAAATACAAAGAAAATATTAGTTTTTTAATGATATAACATCTACTGCACATCAGATTGTATAAAATAAATATGACGTATTTGTAATTGTATAAATTTGACGTTGGAGGGCCATAAACAACTACAGGCTTCTTCCAACACTGCAGTGATCATGCAAAACACTAGCAACACTACGGAAAATATGAGGATACCTATCATGTTCAACCCACTATTGAGGTCTCTATACAGCACCACTCTATACAACGAAAAATTACCATAGCATACAGAAGGTGCAGCACTTTGTTCGATATCCTACGCAACGAAAAGGACCAATCCAGGGTGGAGAAGTTATCAGGCGTCTATACAATCCCTCTAAGAGATAACCAGTTTAACAGGAATTTGGTATACGTAGGATCGACTAAACGTTCATTAGGGGTTAGGATAAAAGAGCACATCTCAGATGTACAATGCAACAGACATACAACATCACTCTCCACCTACGCCACTGATCCTGAAATAGTGGTGGACTTCAATAGAGCGCAGATAATCGTCACCACACCGCACATTCACCATCTAAAATGGTTGGCGGAGATGGAAATTTTTAGAGCATACGACACATCCACTTGTATTAATTCAAGAGACGAAATCGGCCTTTCCATGGCATGGCAAAACCTACTACATACAGAGTAACAGCAAAATACTATTTATTAAATATTAAAATAAAAAATAAAAATAGAAGGTACTGGGGAACATGTGAGAACAGTATTGAATAATTATGTATCTCAATCGCACGTTTTTAAGTATCATAATAATATCTTTCTCTTGAATTTAGACATTGATCGTTAACTTCGATCACGTTCAAACATATCACGTGACGAAATAAGCGAACGATCCGAACGATTCAAACTCAACAGAGTTCGTATTTATTCAAATTTCGTTTTTGGTGTTCGATCCAGCTGTTTCACGTGAAGAAGAGCCCAGAAGGGGTTATGAAAACGTTCGTTGTTGAAAGATTATTCGATACACATCGGTTATAGGTTCAAGTACGTCATATTTAGTTTTTAATGTATAATTCCCTTATTTGCATGTCTTCACAGGACAAGAATTAATCCCTTTACTGCTTTCTAAAATAGTATATGTTATAAATTAGAGTAAAATATTCAGCTGGAATAAATTTCTTAAGTTTTAAAATTCTTACCAGTTCTTTTTGGTTTTTACACAATTGTCAATTACTGATTTTCTTATAAATTTCACTTTACAACATAAATTGTAAAACAACCTGCATTTTTGTGACAATTTTTCTTGTGGATATTGTATCTTTAGTTCTATGGCTGAAATTTCATTTTCCCCATTTTTCTTTCTTTCTTTTGTTTTATTATTCAATTTTAAAGCTACTTTATTGTAAAATAACAAAAATTGCACCTGAGTTAGAGATTGACAAAGCTTACCATATTGTGGCAGGGCAGTATGCAGACAAGAGTTGTGCAAGAAAACCAACTCAGAGCTCAACATGCCACAATTTTTGTTCTGAATGGCCTTCCTTAACTTCTTTGACGTGTCACAGCAAACATGAATTGATTTTGTTGTCTTGTTTAATGTACTAACAGAAAAACCACTAAACTCACTTCCTCCTCTTCTCTTCCGAAAGACAGTTGTCATGATTTTCCAGGCAGACAAAGTTAAAGTTTCTGACACTTCTTTAGTTTTTTGGTGAGTATAACTCCAAGCCATTGATTGATTTTTTTTGTCTCTGCATTTGCATATTGTATATATCATATTGCAATCAAGCCTCATCACCATAATGTACCACTCTAGAAAAATATCACCTTCTCTTCAACTATTCCCATCTATTGTTTCTTATGCTCCTCTGAAAGCAGTTTAGGTACTCACCTGATACAAAACTTCTGATAACTTAATGTTTCAGGGATCACTTCATGAAGGACTGTGCAAGATTTGTGGAAACACCAGAAATCTCTGAAATGGTGAATTTGTTGATTCTCTCCAACCTCTCATCAATGTTCTCAACTCTACTACTCTTTTCATCATGGACATTGGTGTGGCCATTTTTGAACATACTGACTGCATCATTGTCTCACACTGCCCTCACTCATTACAAACTTTTTTAAGAATATAAAGTTAATGATGAATTTCAACCACTGTACAGTTTTTGTCTAATAGAAATCTTATAACTGAATATATTTTACAGATTTTTCAACTGCAGCACATATTTTGAAAAATCGTTGTTGAGCAAGTAACAGTGACACAAATTTCACTATCAATGCTAGATGCCTGCAGTACATTTTATCATTATTTGAAAGAATTTTTATAATTGTAAACATTTTGATGATATATTTATATTTACTCAACATAATAATATGAAAATTAAACAAACTTTAATTAACAAGCATAAATATATATTTTTTCCTGCTTAGATGCATTTTTCAACTTTATAAATTATTTTGTATGATTAAATTTTAAGAAAGAAATTTTTCAAAGTAATTAAAAAATTTTTCCTTTAGAAAATTTGCACTGAATGATCACTTAATACAGCATTTCTGAAATCAAGAACTTAGATTATGCCTTTTTTTTCCACAAGAATACAGTAATAACAAGCTGATTACATACAAGGATGCTCCCTAACATATTTATTCATATAATGACTGTAATTTATCTAAAACAGGTTAGTATTCAAAAACTTAGTAAAAATGTTAGATTATATGATAAATGATAAGTTTCTCCTATGAGCAATTACTTCCGGAAATTATTTTCTATATTATTTAAAAGCATTTAAGATATTATAAACAATATATATATATATTCAATAGAACCATTACTTATGATGATATAGAGATGATAAAATTTAAGATATTACATATACATATGAATTATAGCCTTTTCTACATTTTAAGAATTCAATTTACAATTTTGAGTCCTTCCCTCCCTGTTCTGTACAGTTAGGTACTGTACTTTTAGCATACCTTCTCCCCTTTAATTTTATGACCTTGACGTTGAAAAAATGACAAAACTTTTACTAATTTGATACAAATTTGTTCTTACAAACCTATTTATTAGTATTGTGAATAAACTAATTCCACTAAAATAAGTAGACAATGTCTCAACCCCATCTCTTTCATTGTATACAATGATATACTTTTCACAAACCCCTTCAAAAACATCATACATTATAGAAATCTTTCTAACATACTCAGCTTACAAAAAAGTTGGAGATAATCTTTGTCAAATGTTTAATATTTCTTTATGTAATTATAAAGAATACCCAGATTTATGCTTTACTTATGTAAACAGAACAAAATTATTTTTGTCTTGCAATCAAAATAAAGTGTAAAATGACTAATGAACATTATCTCTAGTGTAAAAATAATATATGTTTGATATTGTATTCTTACATTATAACACTGATTGCATACAAAAGAAAATAAAATACACAGGGTATTTCAGAAATGTTTGGCCAAATTTCTTAGGCTTATAGATGGAGAAAATGTGAAAAATCAAAATCCTTTTTCAATTTGAAGCTTAATGAACAAATAATAATATAATATTAAAAACACCTCTCTCACTTTTTCTAGCAACTTTTAATTAATGAAACTATTTTCAGTTACTGCTAGAAAAAGTGAGAATGGTGTTTTTAATATTATCTAGAAGTTCTAGCTTACAGTGCATAGAATGCTTAATTAACAAGTTATTAAGTGTCAAAATGTAGTTATGTCATTTCTGTTCTTTGTCTAACTATGTAACTTATCAGTAATTAAATTTGTTTACTCATCACAATCTGGTGGAAGAGGAAGACCAGTAACTTGGCCTTTAAATCCTCTAGATTTATGAGGATTTTATGAGGAATGTAAGATCTATAGTTTATGTTATTCGAATTACTAATACACAAGTTCTAAGCAATTGCTGAAAGTTGTGAAAAAAAATTCACAATTCACTTGATGTATTTGAACACGTTTGACAGTCAACAGTAAGATGCTGACAGGTCTGCAGATGCTTAGAGAGGAAAATTTTGAACACTTGCTAAGATATTCTTAATGACTTTTCAAAAAATTTATTTATTTAATTTCTTATTTTTAAATCATACCTATTTTTAGATGAACTGTTTAAATTTGATTACTAATCACAATTTCTTTACTAGTACATATACTTAAAAAAGTGGAAATGATGTCATTATATTTTGACTTAATTATAGTAAAATGAAACTTTTCAGGGTATTATTATCTTAAAAGTTAAAAGTGTACTTTATTTAGCAAAAAACAATGCTTAAGTTATTTTAAATCAATTGTATAGCATAAAAGAAAAGTATAAAATGAAACAGTAGTAGTGAAGATGCCAGGATCTATGAATTTTATGAAACAGTAAAATAAAGTTAGAAAATAGCAAAATAATAAGAAATATGAATTCTCAGTAGAATTTGAAGCTCTAACATTATTTATTTCTAATTTTTCTCCAATAAATTGTTATTTACTAAATATCGAATGCAAAGACTTATTTTTGCATTTTTATTCTTAATTTAGAAATTTATTCATATTCTTGTTTTATTTTTTATTGTGTTATACTTCTGTTATTTTTACACGTTTTTTTTTTTTTAATTTGTAATAGCAAGTTTGTATGTAGTAAATGGTTCAGATTTTTTTTAATATTATCTAGAAGTTCTAGCTTACAGTGCATAGAATGCTTAANCCCCGTGGGAAATAATTTTTATGGCTTTTAGCCTAACTCGATAAAATGTTCGAATTTAACCGATTATATTTTCCAAATCTTAAAATTTAAAATAACACTTTATTGTGGGTCTGTTCGTCCCTCACATAATGAATTGGTTAAACTTTTGTTCTTATCTCGACAAACAGTTGTTTTTGTGATTCAATATGCCACAAATTTCAATAAAGACAAAAATATGAAATTCTTATGTCATTTGAACATGAGATTAAGAAAACCATTAATAAAGTTTCTTGAAAATTTGATTATAGAAGTTAATATTTTTAAGAAGGATGGATAAACGGATGGGATAAGGCAACCCAACATCTAGGCACTCTGCCAACGGACTCAGGTCTCTCTCGAGAGGATTCTATGGGAAACTGGCCTTTAGGTGTTACACGAATAAAACCTGAAAACGCCACCGTTGGCCATACGCGAAACCGATACCACTGGTTTTATGCCAGGATGCTAATGGCAGGACGCTTATTAGGGAGTCCATTGTAATTGAGTGTTAATACCAATTTGTTGAATTCAAATGAACTAAACAATTAATAAGCAAGGACCTAAAAAATGCTTTAGTTTTTAAAATAAAAACAGGATAACAACACAATAGTGGATGAATACACATAATTTTTCAATTAGTTATTTAAAAAAAACATTTCACCGAAAGTTATTAATCAAGTAAACCTATATATATTTTATATCCATATAAAATTATAGTCATAATATTGTAATTACAGTATGTATTCTGCAATGAATTTTAAACCGTTCGAACAAGCATTCATCAATTTCACTTTACATATAAGATAATGAAAAGTTTTAATGTTTATTTTGATAATAAGTGTAGAAATAATATACTTTGAAGTATATTATTTTCAAGCCTCCAAAGCGCAAAGTAATACATTAAAAAATAGTCAACGTATAGGATTGGTCTGGAAATAAAGTTTTAATCCTCTCCATGGCTAAACTTCCGTCAGGAATGTCGTGAAAACAATATTTACGTAACGGTAAAATCAAGAAAAATAAAATAAAAAATAGCTTAGTCATTTCTTTAATTTTAGATATAATAAACGAAATTGAATCGATGTATTTTTGTCATTTATGAAACGGTTTCAACAAAATATGAACTGAAATTTTAAAATTTATTGTTGTAAGGATCCAAATTTACTTGCCCAAGCTTATTTTAATTGTCTGGTTATTGTATTCATCAAAATTTTATTAACTAAACTTAGATTTTGAGGAGCATCTGTCAGTGCTGTGTAACCGATACTAAATTATTTTTTTCTTTTTAGGTAAGCAATTTGCTTATTATTATTTTATTTATTGATATTTTCGTATTATATTTTGTTGACATATAATTTGAGTCATGAATGAACTCTGAAATCATGATATACTTGACTACCAAAAGTTGAATACATTTATCATCAAAAATTTTGTTATATAGTTTTAGATATTAAATACTGTAGTTATTTTTTGTTTATAAATGAAAATTACAAACATCATTTGATAGCATCCTTACATTTAAACATCATTAATTCTAATCCCAGAAGTAAACGTGTAAGTTGATTCTACTATATATACATTAATTAAGACATTGAATATCATTTCTGTAGACAATGAAAATTATTCTTTGAGTAAGAAAAATTTTAACCTTTGATTCATTAAAAGAGAGAGAGAGAGAGAGAGAAGAAAATATCAATGTAAAATGAAAAAAGTTTATCTTAGTTTTCCAGAAAAAATTTTTATGGTAGGATATGATCTAGTTTATAAAATTCTGGTGAATTCAATATTAATGCCAAAATAAATAAATACAAGTTAAACAATAACTTTTCAATAAAGTGAAAATTATTTTTTGTAAAGGTTATACACCAAGTAATGGGTTCTTTTTAATCTTTATTCTTACTCGTCTTGTTTAAAATTTAAACTGTAGACACAATATATGTTTCCTTCTCTTGACATAATGTGTTATAATATATAAATTATGTTATTAATTAGCAAATAATTTGGATGTCAGAACATTAATATAAAAAAGATACACAATGTGATCATGATTTAACTTTTAGTTGATTTTTTAAAGAAATGTTGTCTGCACAGTAGTCTTTGCTATAAATTCTGTTAGTCTTTGCTATAAATTCTAACTTTACCTTAAGTATAAAATATTTTTTTATTGACATAAATAACAATAAATCAAAAAAATGCTTTTAAGTTGGTTATTACGCTTTTAAGGAATGAATCTTTTGGAATTTACTGTATTTATATTGCTCAAATTCTCGGTTATGCACGATTCCCTTATGTAATTCCCGGTAAAATCATTCCCTATATTAAGAGCTTTATACCAATTCTACTACGGTTAATTGGGGTTAATATTCATATCGACACTTCATCTTTGTTTAAATTGCTAATTAATATGCAGTTTCAAACTTTTTAAACATTTATAGCTTTAGATATAAATTACCCGATGATGGTCATACATTATCCCACTATTTCTAAAACTTCGGCTTTCAGCAGACCATTGGAAGATGGTCAGAACCAGAAGTGGATCAAGATACAATGATCCTAGATGAGCGATACAATCTTAAAGTTAAAAAAAAAAAAAATGAATAAAATGCAGAAACATATTGGAAGGATTTCAGTGCATCTATCATCCTTTCCCAGCAATTTGCAAAAAAAGTTTTAAGAAATTAAAATTAAATACTGTACATATATATAAAATTACTTCCATACGCATTTATTACAAAATCATTTTTTAGGTTATCTTATCAAAAACAATAATTTTAACGACTTCATTTTCTTATTTTTCACAATGAAATAACCACACCATTTATAATTTTTTTCCTTATTAAAGGAAGCTATAAAAAAATGGCATATGAAAAACACGAGTAACCTAAATTTATTAAAATATTATTTACTTAAATAATTTTCTATTCATTTAAATTTGTTTTATCGCCTGAAAAATTTAACATGCACCTCTCCGAAAAACTATCATTTTCGCCCTTGACACACAAATAACTATTGTTACGTTAGAGGAGTGGTTTAATTGAATCTAAGATGACAAAAAAACTTGTTATTAATAAATCTCAAAATAGTAAGTTAAATCGTCAAATTGTCCTTGTGCTGAACGTAAGCGTTACCAACGCCCATTGCAAGGTTTATGACATGAAATGGTTGGATTTCATTGGCTATGTACTCTAAAAAGGCAGTTCAAAATAATGTTTAAATTGGTTTGTGAAGCATCTATCTGAAAATCGAAATATTCTGTTCAATATTGAAATGAGAGTTTTTTTTTTTTTTTTTTTTTTTTTTGAAAGGTAAAGTTTGGTGCGTTGTCGTATTGAACTTCACGTGCCCGGGTATATTTAGTGCACCGCCATTGCTGGCCAAATGCCCGAAACAACAGCACACGGTGAGAGAGAGAGAGAGAGAGAGAAGAAAATATCAATGTAAAATGAAAAAAGTTTATCTTAGTTTTCCAGAAAAAATTTTTATGGTAGGATATGATCTAGTTTATAAAATTCTGGTGAATTCAATATTAATGCCAAAATAAATAAATACAAGTTAAACAATAACTTTTCAATAAAGTGAAAATTATTTTTTGTAAAGGTTATACACCAAGTAATGGGTTCTTTTTAATCTTTATTCTTACTCGTCTTGTTTAAAATTTAAACTGTAGACACAATATATGTTTCCTTCTCTTGACATAATGTGTTATAATATATAAATTATGTTATTAATTAGCAAATAATTTGGATGTCAGAACATTAATATAAAAAAGATACACAATGTGATCATGATTTAACTTTTAGTTGATTTTTTAAAGAAATGTTGTCTGCACAGTAGTCTTTGCTATAAATTCTGTTAGTCTTTGCTATAAATTCTAACTTTACCTTAAGTATAAAATATTTTTTTATTGACATAAATAACAATAAATCAAAAAAATGCTTTTAAGTTGGTTATTACGCTTTTAAGGAATGAATCTTTTGGAATTTACTGTATTTATATTGCTCAAATTCTCGGTTATGCACGATTCCCTTATGTAATTCCCGGTAAAATCATTCCCTATATTAAGAGCTTTATACCAATTCTACTACGGTTAATTGGGGTTAATATTCATATCGACACTTCATCTTTGTTTAAATTGCTAATTAATATGCAGTTTCAAACTTTTTAAACATTTATAGCTTTAGATATAAATTACCCGATGATGGTCATACATTAATTATCCCACTATTTCTAAAACTTCGGCTTTCAGCAGACCATTGGAAGATGGTCAGAACCAGAAGTGGATCAAGATACAATGATCCTAGATGAGCGATACAATCTTAAAGTTAAAAAAAAAAAAAATGAATAAAATGCAGAAACATATTGGAAGGATTTCAGTGCATCTATCATCCTTTCCCAGCAATTTGCAAAAAAAGTTTTAAGAAATTAAAATTAAATACTGTACATATATATAAAATTACTTCCATACGCATTTATTACAAAATCATTTTTTAGGTTATCTTATCAAAAACAATAATTTTAACGACTTCATTTTCTTATTTTTCACAATGAAATAACCACACCATTTATAATTTTTTTCCTTATTAAAGGAAGCTATAAAAAAATGGCATATGAAAAACACGAGTAACCTAAATTTATTAAAATATTATTTACTTAAATAATTTTCTATTCATTTAAATTTGTTTTATCGCCTGAAAAATTTAACATGCACCTCTCCGAAAAACTATCATTTTCGCCCTTGACACACAAATAACTATTGTTACGTTAGAGGAGTGGNGTGTAGAGAGAGAGAGAGAGAGAGAGAGAGAGAGAGAGGAAAAAAAAATCTTATACTTAAATGATCTTGACGTCTGGAAATACCACAGAATTCACCAATTCTTGGAATTATTTTGAATTTAAATTTAATGTGAAATTTATTTTTACCGTGGATTTCAAACGTTGCTCATAAAAATTGAAATATTTAAAATTAAAATCATTTTAGTTATAAGGAAGTTCGATTAAACTTTCTGATATTCTTAATTTGGAATATTTATTAAAACGTTTTTAAAATGAATGATTAAAAAAAATTAAAAATATTTTAACAAGAATTACTATTTATAAAAAATTAAATTAAATTTTATGCGTAAAATTTGAAACGATTTCATAATTTAAAAAGTGACGTGTATATTTTTTTTATACACGTTGAAACGTCAGAGTGATGACATTTGTAACAGGAAATAACTATCCAATGAGGTCTCATAATAGTAAAACGTCAACCAATAGCATGCTGGACTAGGAGGGTCTATTAATACAGTTAGGTGAGCGAAGTAGATTCAGTTGAGATGGGATTGTTGTTAGTTGTCAGTTGTAAGTTTAGAAAATTGCTTCATATGAATGAAGTAGTGTGGTGAATGTCATTTGCTCTGCAGTTATGTTATCGATCATCCTAAACAAAATTTGATAAATATCCATGAAATCGTCTCTCTCTCAGCGTGTGGTCTTTATACTAATTATTTTTGGAATAGCTGGATTTTTTTATTTGTCAATACCCAGTTTAGAAAAGAAATATTTGCAAACGATCAAAGAATATCCGCATGTTGACTATAATGTAANTTAAATCGTGACTAACTTAATAATAAAACGAGCAATTATTTATTATGGCATAGTCACAATGTCGGGCTGCAATTTTTAATCGTATTTTTAATTTATTTCATTTAAAAATATCAACTCTCCACCTCAAATTAGTGGCTTGGTCCTGTACATTATACTTTTCCTTTAACAATAGAGTCGAGCCAGTCATTCTATTAACTGCTTTCAGATGAAAAGTTTTAAATTAAAATAACGTGTCTTCCGGTTTTAATCGGAAGTTTGTATATAGTTAATCGGAGCCTCCTGCCCTTACGATTTCCATATCTGGTCTCGGATTTTATCTAGCTATCTCCGTTCTCATGATTAAGGAAAGGCAGCCGAACGGACGACAGTGGGAATTTACAGGTCTACAGTTTTTCCAAATTGCAGCCTAATTATTCAGAAATTAGTTAAAATAGAAACATGAATAAAGAGAAAAATTTGTAATTATTGAAATTGAGAATATTACAGTAAATTCCTTTTAAAAAGCTAACTTTATAGATAGCACATGTTTAAAGTTTTCATTTAAAATGGACTAGCCTTATCTAATTAAATATAGGTTTATGTACCGGCACAATGTATATTATTAATTTTTATTACGCTTACAATTTATCGAATGTCACGGCAATAACTTCGCCCTAAATGAAAAAAAAAACACTAATTGGTTATATCTCGGCAACTCTGTTTTCCCGTAGCCTATACAGGCCTATATATCTATAGGAAACAGTTGCCGATTATCGGGAGTCGATTTCTCGCCCTCCAAATGCTTTGTCACTCCATAATAATTGTCATAATTTTTTACTTGGCGCAAGTTTATATATATATATATATAAACAAATAGGCCTATACAAATATTTCTGACATAGGCCTATGTATATAGACGTTTACGAATTAAGAATAACGTTCTTAGAAAAGTTAAACTTTCGTCGATAACTCTTTTTCTTCCTCCTAGTTTATTTAAATACTGTATTTAATTTCAAACAATTCGTTAAATTTTAACTATGAAAAGTAAAATCTCAATTCGATTTTTCTGAGTGGGCTAAAAACGTTTGATCCAATGTCAAGGTTAATGTTATATTTCGAAAACTCACTTTTTAAGTTATTAATGCAGCTTGAAGTAATACATAGTATTATTTTTTCGGAAGATTGAAAGATTGAAGTTCGATTGATATTGAAGATTGAAAGATTGATTCGATTGATAGATTGAAGTTTGTTTTAACAAACTTCAATCTATCAATCGAACTATTGCTATCGATAGCAAAAATTCCGGCCATAAGATCCAAGATGGCGGACGAGTCAGCTATCCTACACACAGTGGCAACGGGTATAGGTTTCTTTATTCAGCTGTATTTAAAGCCGCCAGGCAATGCGCTCAATGCCTATACACAACTTAACAACTGTTTCAATACGTGGAATCCAGAAGTTCTTTCCTTTTCTTAATAAAATATATAGGCTATTTACAACTGATTAAACAACTCTATTTAAACAGAAACAGGAAAATTATTTCTCAATAAAGTGTAAAAATTTGAGCTTACAGAATTTTACAAAATATTTTATTTTTTCAAAATTTATGTAAATGTTTTGATAGTATACATTTCAATTCTTTGTTTACTTTTAGTTAAAATTTTTCTAATTACAAACTTAGATGAACTTCGTATTCTAATTTAAATAACTCAATGATTTCAATTTCAAGCTTAATTTAATTGTATATTTGAAAAGCTAAAACTTAATTAAATGTTTTAAAAAGCTACACATGCTTAATTATTATTTAGATTATATCGTTTCGAAAAAAATATGAATGAACTGTTCAATCTATCATTCAACCATTCAACCAATTGGCCGTTGTTCTCAATGTTTCCATATTTCGTGTTTATACATCTCAATGACTTGAAATATCTTTATATATAACGTTTAATTAATGTTACTTGTCTCATGCAAATTATCTATAAAAATGTTTAAACGAAAAGCGAAACCTGCTCTAAAAAGAGTTGGAAAATTTTTAATTTTTTGCAATAAAAACAATCAATTTTTTAAAAAAACATTTTTAGTTTCTACATTGTTTTTCGTACGATAAGCTAAGTCAGTGATGTCCCAATTACGGTTCCGGCCCAAATCCGGCCCGCGTTCAAATTTTATACATCCCTTATAAATAGTAGAAATAGGCCTAGGCCTACTTTTATATATCTACTTTTACCATATATATATTGTATACACTTTGCCTATATATAATTACAGTAATACAGTCCAAATGATACTATTACACTCTTCAAAAGTGAAATCGCAACAGCACGAAGGCGTGAAAATTGCAGGACCAGTAGAGGTGACAGAGATATGCAAATGATTAAGTTTTCGTACGCATCAGTCATGTGGTACCGTTTCGGACTATAAAGACCAGTAGCCGGCTCGAGCCGTAAATTTTATCTGCGACGGTTCTCGGCAGCCGAACTTTTGATTGGTTTTGGTTTTATTGGTGTACGGCAACTTGACACATGGACGATCTGCCGAGGGGGAGTGCCTCCCGGTCTTTTATGGGAAACTGAACCCTATTTAGGTGTGACTAACGTGAAGGAAGCCGGAAATCTCCACGTGGCCAGCCCGTTGGCTCAGTGGCGTAGCGAACATAACTGGCTCCCAGGGCAGGACACTTAATTGGCGCCAGTAAATGTAAGGACTCCTCCTCCTGTAAATTAATTTTTGATGGAACTATATTATAAGTATATTGGCGTTCTTCGGTAGCTCACGGTGATTTTTTTATGACGTAATGTCGTCTATGTCACTATCAGCTTAGTTGAGACAGAGTATAGGTTTTCTCCTAGGAAATCGAAATAGCTTCGCGCGTAATTTTTTCTGTTTCGGCTTCACACGAAAACACAAATGTGGTGACACGCTTCTCACGTTCTGTCTAAAGCAGTTTAAAACACGCAGGTTCCGAGGGAGGGCCTGCCTTGCCTGTACAACGTCATAACAGACAAAAACGCCAAGAAACGTTTAAAACAGCGGTCGTCAACAGCGGTGGTCCACGAGAAAATTTGGACATTGATTAACTCAAGGTTACGCGAAGAATTACGAAAGAAATGCAAAATGCTTGGTTGCTTTTTCTCACACATGTTTGATTTTTTATTCGAATATAAAACCAAACATGAAATGACATCAATAAATCAATAAATAATCAACAATAATGTGAGTGCGATTGTCGTCCTACGTGGAAAAGAGCCAAGAATACATAAACTTATCTCAAACCAGCAGCAACAAACTTTACATTAATTTGTTATAATTAAACAAGTAAATTTCATATTAATAAAGTAAAATGGAACTTTTATGATCATTATTCTATAGATGTTTGTATCATTAAAAAGAAAAAAAAATCGTAAGAGTGGTCAGAAAGGTTGGCGACCGCTGGTTTAAAATATTCACATGTGCGGCCAACGGACTATCAACTCCAGCAACCAGCTAAAACACGCACATGTGCGGTCGCAGGCTTTGCATGTTAAACGCCTGTAGTAAAGATTAAAATAAAAAAAAATTGTCGTCGAGATCAATGTAAATTGACAGCAAAAGAAAACTCGATTGACATGTAGCGCGCGACCATAGACTTTAAATGACAAACTTTGGCTTCGAATATCTCAGCCCATAGATAAAACTTCAAAATTCCTTTTCGTCACGACATCGGTCTTTCGAGTTGTACATATTTGCAATCATGTGTAGTGGTTAATTAAACTTCAATCACAAACAAATCACTTTCTGACTTGTATAGAGCTCCATTCAATAATATAGGCTATATAATGAAGTATATATAATCAGAGAACGTTATTACACTTATAAAGTGATTTGAATTACAGGAACCATAAAATTCAATTATTGTCATAAAAATAAATAATTTGAATTACTACGAGAAAAGTTTTTTGTAAATCTGAGTTTGTGTTGTAAATCAGGAATTACTTGTAATAACATTTTATTAAAATAGCTTTATCAATAATATTTTCTTTGTTTAAACAAGATACTTGCATTTTTTTTTTGGCAGATAATTTTATGTTGAAGATCAAATCAGAATAAGTTAATACGATAATTCGATTTCCGTATTAGATTTCCTCCTCAATGACATGAAAATTTATGTTAATTCTAATCAAGAAAGAGAATTTCCTGTCAATAAATTGACCTTATCTGTAATTCATATAATATTAGATAACGTCAATACGTTCCGCCTTTCAGCCTTTAATGACTGTTATTATTTTTCCATTGTCTTGATGAAATAGGTTTGATGACTCGAAGAACTTATTTTCTGAGGTTTACGTTGAAAGGTCTAGTTTATAAACTATAATATTCGCAAAAATAAGTTATGTATTTAGAAATATTTAACAGACACTGACCGAAATTCTTCGTCTAATATATGGTTATGTATCTGACAGAGCAGAACAAACTGATTAATAGCGAGGATTCCGACCAAAATTGTTTGAAACTCAAACTTCTTCGATGGATCTGAATCGATTAACACCAAAATTTTCAATGGTTAGTTGAAACTTTTAATGATATATAACTAGGAAGCAAAAATTTATATAAGATATAAATGTTAACTGAAAGAATATAATCTGACAGTTAATAAAAATAACTTTTGTCAGATGTCCGGATGGACCAAATGGCTGAGTGATTAAGGTTTAGCCTACCCCAGAAACGGAAACGGCCCCAAAAATACCAATAAATTTTTCGTAGGTAGTCCGACTCGGACACGTTGGACCGCGCCGGCCTTGCCATTGTGGGCCTCACTGAATTCTCGATGGGCTTGGTAAAAAGGACCTCTAGTGCTCACGGGACAGAAAGAGTAAAAACAAGTCCAGATTTTACTTATAGCAAGATTTTAAAATTAACATTTAACAAATTTTAATTAATACATATTTTAAAAATTTTTAAATATTCTAAATTTGTTCTATTTCTTTACTAAG